ACGTTTTTAAGCTGAAGGATCAAACAAAAATAATATTGTTCATTTATCATATATTAAAATATTATTACCCATGAGTCAATACTTTCTTAGGCCGATAATGATTTGTTGCCCTTCTTCTTTGGATATTGTTTATCTCGTAGATTTTCTTTCCCTTCCACTGAGAGATCACTGACCACATCATAAGCTTTAAGTGGCTGAGTTTCTTGCTTTTCAATGGTATCCGATCAACTGCACTTTTTCTATAACCGGAAGTTCTTGTCCCTATGAGGCACAAGTAACAAAACCAACTTAGAGATTTGATTTACATAAAAAAGAAAAAACAAACCCAACACTCTTAAAACAATAGAAGTTCGAAAGAACAAATTTATGAATTGCCCCTCTAATAAGCAAACATAAACCACATCTACAGTCGAATTACAGAACAAAAATAAAAATAAAAGGAAAGTGGATTGCAAGATCCATAAAATGGATAAAGAGTGGATTGGCGATTCTTTTCTTCTCCATGTTTGGATTCTTTTATATTGGTATATTAAAAACACATAATAAATTAAATATAAAATTTATAAACCGTGTTACTAAAATTAAAAACAGATTAGATCATTTTAAACGAAAATACAGACACTAAAATAAATCGGAATCACATGTTGTAAGTTTTGCTTATGAAACATTATGAGCCAATCTCTAAAAAGACAGAATCACAAAGTTGAGTATAAAAAACTGCAGCAGCATTTAGAGTTTAAACAATGATTAACAGAGCATATGAAACATATCGGAAAAATTACCAACCAGGATCATCCATTCATTGACAAGTATACTTGAACCGAAACATTGCTGAAAAGTGTATTGTAACCGATGAGTAAGCTATTCGCAATTTGAAGACATTTCAGAGTTTTTGCCTCGGGTATGCTTTTTTTATGAGTAGCTATTCACAAAGATGGCTTCTGCATTTGAAAGTTATGAGCCATTTTTGGCTCAAATATATATGCTTTTTATTAGCTTCTTAGCATCTAGTAAGCAATTCAACAGCTCGCCGTCATACTCAATTGCAATTCCAGTCTAGAACCACAAAAATAAAGTGAAACCAACGAACTTAACATGAAAAAACCAAATTATAGAAAAAAAACCCCACCTTCTGAACCACGGCAAATATGACGTGATCTCCAAATACCAGTTATGGAATCCCATCCAAACGAACATGCGCATAACTACCTCAAGAGTGGAAGACAAATAAATAAAACATGAGTAATAGTTTAAAAAAAATCTAAAAATCAAATAAATTATAATCAAAAACAGGAAAAAACAACAAATATGTGCAAACAAAGTAAATAATCAAACATAACGTTGCTTCTAAACAATCATTATATGAGGAACTCAGCTGATGCGTCATCCAGTTTTCTTATAATGACACCGACTTAGCAGCTAACAAACAGTAAATAGATTATCCTACAAGTGTTCAAATTATAGAAAAAAAACTCATAACCCAATTTATAAAAATAAACATAGGTCCAAAGATTTATTCCACAAAACATACCTATGTTGGAATTCAGAGAAGGCGATTGGAACATACAATCTCTAAGGGCAAGTTCATGGATTGTCACGGTACCTTGAGACTCAAAACTAACAGAGTGAAATATAGACAGACAATCATCATATAATATAAAAGTTCATGGCATAGTGCATTGAGAGCGTCCACATGGGATTAAAAAACTCGATCTGATTGGTCCACATCAGCATATTCATTAAATAAAAAAATGTTAAGTATGATTATGAAAGAAAAACTTGATTTAATTGGTCCACATCAGCTTTTAAATCAAACCAAAAATTATTAAATATAATTAAGACATTAAAAGTTAATTTGACAAATTATGTCCAACAAAAGAGTAAATTCAATCTGATTGATCCAAATCAACATATTTATTAGATCAGAAAATGTTAATATGGTTTAAAAAATTTAAAGTTAAATAAAAAAATTAACAATTAACAATACATATATAAAAAAGTAACTATTATTAATTATCAATTTAAAAATATCTACAACAACTCGAATTAACAATTAAAACAATGAAAACTGAATAAAAATATAACATAAAAATCTTGGAAGACATGATGGAGAAGGAAAAAATAGTTTTGCATGATCATTACAGCTTCCTAACAAAATTAAATATGAATCAACATGAATCAACATGAATCATGAATTATATATACAGTGGTGCACAACATCAATAAGACTTTCAGTAAAAAACTAAATATTTGAACACATAAACCTTCAAGAAAAAAGAACTATAGAAATTCTATGGAAAGCAGAAAATAATACCAAAAATCTTAGCAAGATTATATTTTTCTAAATCAAATGTATATGTACGTCAAAGTTGGATAATTCGATAGGTGTCATTGATAAATTACACATTATATATTAAATTCTCTTATATAAATGAAAATTTTTATAAATATATATAATTTTTAATAATTTTAAAGATAGTAGTTAAAAAAATAAACCAAAATATTAATACAGACTCGTGCGTAGCGCGAGTTATATACCTAGTCAAACTATAAAAGAACAAACAAAGTAAAACAATCACAACTACTGTTTTATGGAACCACGATTGAACAATATATAGCGAAAAAAAAAAACAGAAAATAAACCTTACAAAATATAGAAAATATGACAAACCGTTGAAAAATAGTGGTCATATTTATATATAAGGCTACACATTCATAGTTTACTTTTTTTTAGCATAAAATAATGATATTAGAATATACGGGATCAAATTTAAATTTATTTTAAGTGTTCGGCCATATAATTATCCGATAACATATATGAAAATATATATATTTTATATATCATAATTAAATAAAAATTTAAATTTAGAAACAAATCAGCAGTAAAATATGATAAAAACAAATTTAGCCTTACGTACCAGAGAACGAAAAAACTCCGGAAATCGCATGATTAAACCAGTAAATACAAAAATCCCACAGCATTACACCGTAAAATGACCTAATTCAAATCAAAACCATTTAAATATTTGGTAGCTACGGGGTAGGCTTACAAAAATAAAATAAAAAGTTGGAAAGTCTTTTTGTAAGAGCCCTACCTCAATATATTATAATCCTACGGTTTCTGGGATCTTCCTGGGAAAGTCAAGAAAGGAATAATGTTTACGGCTTCGAGCGAGGGCGGTGATGATGGCGATATCACCAAATTTGGAGATTCGACGGACTTGGTTGTTAGTCCTCTGGCGAAGAAGCCGAGGCTAGATCTGAAAGTGGAGGCGGAGGCGGAGGCGAAGGTCGAACCAGAAGTACGAATTCTCCGGCGACCGGATCTGAGCGACCCGGATTATAAGAGACAGCGAGAGATGTATTTTGAGCAGTATGAAAAGAGCGAGGTGATATTCATTCCTTTGATTTAGGGTTTACGTACGTAGATGTATTCTCGTTTTCTGGATTTGTTGTGTGGGGAGTGATGGGTTGGTGTTTATGATTATAGGGTTACGATGTGGACTGGGATAGTATTACTTACGACTTCGCTGCCGTCAAATTCGAATGGGGAGGAGATTTCGATGATGTTATTAGCAACGATGAGTTACTCAAACGTCTCATAGAGAGTGCCATCGGAGAAGAGAACGAAGAAAACGTCAGAGCTCCTTGATCATCGATGAATTTTTATTTTTACTTTTAAAAAGAAAAATTCTAAATTTGTTTTGTTTTGCTTTGTATCTTGCAGGGAACACAACTCGAGTTTGTCAAGTATGTGAGCGCAAATGTAATAGGCGTCCAAGGTTTTCTGTTTTTTATAACATTTTGGGCCAAAGATGTTTCCTCACCAGATCCAGAGCCAAAGCTTTACCAAACTAAGGTGAGGAAGTTTATGGATGAGGACATTGTGGTTGACTTCAGGCTAAGGCCAACACAAGAACGATTTGGATCTATTCTTACACTAAACATGTAAAAATGGCTTCATCTCCTCTTCTAATCTCCTCTTCTTCTTCTTCTCCTGGGCATGTCAGTGTCTTTTAAACCAATTCAGGCTAAGGCCAACACAAGAACGATTTGGATCTATTCTCACACTAGACATGTAAATGGCTTCATCTTCTTCTTATAATCTCTTTTTATTCTTCTTCTCCTGGCCATGTGATTACGACGTCAATGAACTCCTTGTGTGGAATCATTTTTTTTTTTACTTCTTACGCAACTTTAATGTAATGCCCTTATTAAAATTAACGTGTTAAGACTTCAATAACTACCAGCTTAACCCATAGGCAGAAGCTAAACATCAAATTCCAAGTCAAGGAATCCAGCATTGTTATTAGATTTAATTTAAATAGTCATATATATTGGAAGAAGTTTTGTTAATCTTTTTCTCGACGAGCGAAGCCAAACATTATCTGCGGATTCGTACAATATATGATTTATAGGGTTTTGGAATTGGACCATAGCTGTTTCCGGCGATTGCATTCGGTCCCAAGATTCGGCGGAGATCAACATTCCGCCACCAAAGAAGCTGAGGATAGACACAGAATCGGAAGCGAGGGCAAAGGCACCACCAGGTTCCGTGTTCTACAAGGGAAGAGTAATCCTCAAAGGTCAACGGAACGATCCGGAATGTTAGGGACAGCGACGTCTCTTTTACAAAACAGTTCGAGGAAAGCCAGGTATATGTAATATCTTCGATTTAGGGTTAATGTATAAGTCAATTTGTTTCATTGCCTCCAAGATCCATGCTATTCTATAAAATCTTATTGTATTTGTTCATAGGGTTTTGATGTGGACTGGGATGGTTTCGATTACGTGTTCAATGTCGTCAACTTTGACTGGAAACCATAAATAGAAGATGAACGGGGAGCAATGAGGAGTTGATGGAACTGCTCATACAGGCAGCCATTGAAGAACATGATGAAGAACATGTTATGAGCTTGGTCTTCCTTTTTTATTTTATTTTTCTCTACTCTCTAACGGTTCTCTGGTTCTTGTGCTTATCTTTTTGTGTTTCTTGGCAGGAGACAAGGCTTGAGTCTGCCAAGTATGTGAGTGCAAATATATACTGTGTGCAACGGTATTACATGAGTGTGAGAGCATTATAGGCAATTTGACCGGATGAATAAACCGGTTTCTCCAAAATGTCCGTTTTGCCCCCGCGACTTCTTCGTTTGTCTATCACTCCCAAAACGATTTCTTTCATCTCAAACTCAAAACCAAAGGTTTCTTGGTCCAGAAGCTTTCATAATCTTCCGACCTTTTTCTCAAAAAATTTCTATTACATAATTTGACTCTGAAACTTGGATTCGCAAGTGACACGTTCACTGTAAATCTCCCCATAAATAAGTATGCCAAGCTCAGAGAAATCCACACTGCACGCAAAGTGTTTGATGGAATGTGTGAACCAAATGTCGTTTCCTGAACTTGGGTTATTTTTGGATATAACGACATCGGTCAACCTAAAAATGCTCTGTCTATGTTTCAGGAGATGCATAAAGATAGATATCTCTATCTCCCAAGTCCCAATGAGTTCACGTTTGCTAGTGTATCGTCACATGTAGAGAATGCCATGAGGCTTTCAAGCTGATCAGTGAGATTGTGGAGAGAGAGAGATTGTTGTTAAGGAAGTGAATAGTTTTCATTGCTTTAAGGATGGATCTTGAAGAGAATGCCATGAGGCTTTCAAGCTGATCAGTGAGATTGTGGAGAGAGAGAGATTGTTGTTAAGGAAGTGAATAGTTTTCATTGCTTTAAGGATGGATCTTGAAGAGAATGCCATGAGGCTTTCAAGCTGATCAGTGAGATTGTGGAGAGAGAGAGATTGTTGTTAAGGAAGTGAATAGTTTTCATTGCTTTAAGGATGGATCTTGCAATTGTCATGATTTTTGGTGAACTGAGTTTTACCATTTTTAAATTGGTCGTTTGTTCTTCCATGCTTCTCCATAGGTTCACATGCGCAAGAGTTGATGTAAAAGCGGTTTAAAGGATATCATCGTTTATAACTAGTAAACTTGATTATTGAAGGGTTTTCTGCAATTAAACCCTCAAATATTTTTTTTTTGCAAGTTTAACCTTGATTTGCAGAAAATGCAAGTCAACCCCTCACATCATGGTCAACCCGCTAAACAACCCTCGTCTATAACAGATGTTATATCGGTTAGGGAATAGCAAACGCTGCGTTTTAGGCAATATGGAACTGATAAAAATCATGTTGTTTTTTATGTAACACGTGGTTTTATCTCTTTATATCTTTCAACTCGTTGAACATTTGGGGAAAAAAACGAAATTAGGTTTTGCTCAGTCGATCTTCTTTTCTTGTTGAGGCTCCATTGGCGACAAAATTGAAGATTGTTAGTGTTTCTGCTTCTGAGGTTAGTGAATTTTGTATCTTGTTGACTTTAAATGGTAGAAATGTCGAATGCGGAAACTATCATAACTGAAATTGTGGATTCGAGTTCATGGGAGGGGTCGAGTTTCTGAATTGAGAAATGCTTAGAGAATGTGGATCTATGGATTCGAGTTCATGTGAGGGCTCGAGTTTCTGAATTAAAATCTGATTCATAAAATAGATTATGTTTTTTGTTCATGTTTTTTATTTAGTTGTTATCGAAAGAGATTAAGCCGTTTGATTGATATAGAATGTTTGGTTTCTTTTATCACTTCCCACAGAGATGGGCATTCACAGCTATACTCAGCCTTCAACAAGTGTTTCAAGTGTGACGAGAAACATCAAAGATTATGGGCTTACGAAGGAGTGTGATTGTGGAGCTAATGACATCATCGATACTTCCCACTCGCCGATGATCCAAGAAGGAGGTTCTACACTTGCGTGAATGTAGGAGATGGAGATTGTCACATTTGGAAGTGGTGGGACGAAGCAGTCATGGAGGAGCTAACTCTCATTGATGGCAATGTTGGTGAAATGGCAGAGAAGATGGATTTCTTCACTTACTTGGATGATTTTTATATGGCTACTGGGGAAATCAAGGAGCTGAAGAATGAGACTACGAAGAAGATCGCCAAGTTGGAAATGGAGTTGGCCGAGATGAAGAAAAAGCAAAGTGGCATAAGAATCGGCTTTGAGCTGCAAATTGTGATTGCTGCAGCCGTTGTTCTTCTCTTACTCAGCATTCTTATTTGCCTTAAGTAAGACATTAGTAGTTTGACATTAGTTCTTTATTTTTTAAGACATTCAAAGTTTAAGTATGTTAACGGCTGTAGATCCTTCATTTTCAAGCTTGTAAGGGTCTATATGTATGGATTTTATGTGTCTTATGTATTTGATCAGATTGGTAACTAAGCTTCTTCTTCCTCTTCTTTTGCTGTTTTGGTTGGCGTTTGTGTCTTATGTCTTATATGTGTTATGCATTTTTGTAATAACAAATGATGAACAAATGATAAGAAAATCAAAATACACAATAAAGTTTGAAAATACATAATACCCAAGTCAAAATACATAAATAGTATTTGAAAGAAGATTGAGAATCAAAATACATAACAAATTCATGGAAACAGCAGAGTTTGAGACACACAATCAATGTTCAAAAGACTAAAAAGTTTGACACAAAAGAAACTGAGACACATAATCACTTCACGCTCTTCTCACTATTCTTCCCACCAGCAGCAGCACGAGCAGCTAATTTCTTCTTCTCTCTTGAACGATAGAGTGTACTTTGCAGGATGGTGTTGTCACTTGTATCTGTCACACGTGAGCCAACTGCGATGTAGTCGTCACCAGTAATAGAGCTTGTAAAGAGACCAACTCCTTCCTACACAATAAACAAAGTCATCACCAAGAGTTTACACAAATACATAACCACCAAATGACACATAACCACCAAATGTTTACACAATCATTTGAACTTACCCTCGGAAGATGTACTGGCCCTGTATCATAAATAGGTTCTCGTGGAGTTGTAAGGTTTGGTTGCGAGGATGAAACACCATCAAATTGACTTTTGCGAGGTCTTCCTCGACGCCTTTTTGGGAGAGCAGCTGAAAGACTTGGAAGATCTTCCATTGGTTGGCTTTGTGCAACAAGTTGAGAAGCTACCACCGGTGCTTGAGAAGACGATGCAGATATATCAGGCACTTGAGAAGACATCATTGGTGCTTCCGTAACCGGTCGTATCCTTGGCCTCCCACGTGGGTTTGAAGGCGGCTTATCAACATGTAGACTCTTACAATATAGCCTGTTGTGTCCTTCTTGTCCACATAGGCCACAATGCTGTCAAGAGTGTATCAACAATTACAAGTTTAGTGTTGTGTTTTGCAAAGATAAAAACAGTATTGCAAGATTCACAATACTTACAATTTTAGTTCCTCTCTTAGGAATCATTCCTGGTCTAGTTTCACCAACTTCTCTCTTTCTTTTCTTCCCTGGAGGTCTTCCAGGAGGCCTCTTATATGGAGGTGGATTTACACACGCATCAGTGCTATTCCACATGTTCATGCCTCCAACCGCCTTCAATGGAGTAGCGTAGCAGCTTCTTAGCTTCTCTACGGTGAACCAGTGAGAAAGAAGCAGATTTAGATCTTGATCATCGTGTCTCTCCATACGCAGGGCCGAAAGCATGTGGCAGCAAGGGATGCCACTGACTTTATACATCCTGCAGCCACAACTCGGTTCACCTCTCATTTGCACTACAAACCTGTCATTAAAATAGGTAACCTCATACTCGCCTAAACCACAACTTAAAGGGATACAATCTTTTGTTTTGTAAATCTGTTGGTCCAATAAAGCCTTTGCTCTAGGAGTGTAAGATCCTTTAGCTTTCTCTACCTCGGATCGCTTCTTCTCATTTGAAGTCATCACACATCTTCTAATGTCTTCAAGCATCTCAACCACGGGTTTGGTCCTTGCAATCCGAATGGCTGCATTGAAAGACTCTCCTAGATTGTTTTCAACCGCACCACACTTTGAATGCTCACTGAAATATGTCCTGTCAACATAATAAATAGAGTTACGTTACAAATATAACCGAAAATAAGCCATAATACAAAGAATACAAACAGAAAACTCACCTTGACCATGGACAGTAAACGGATATCCTCAAATCATCATAAGCAGACTGAGATAGATGCTTCAGTTCATTCATTTTCCTCTTAAAGGCTGCATGGTAGTAAGAATCTGCAGCTCCCCAGAATAAGTCTTCAAAGTCTGCTCCATAATATTTCTTTTTCCAATTCGCATGGCCATGTCTTGCACATAACCTATGCTCTGCAAACGGTAGCACGTCTTTCACTGCTCCAATCAAACCTTTACACTGGTCATTAGCAAGTGTCAGCCCATTTCCAGTTTCTAGATCCAAGTCGTTAGACAAATGCTCAAAAAACCACTCCCAATTTGGCTTGTTCTCAACATCTACAATGCCCCAAGCTATGGGAAACATCTGATCGTTTGGGTCTCTTCCACAAGCCACCAAAAGCTGACCAGTCATCCTCCATTTCAGAAATGTTCCGTCGATGTGAATTATCTTCCTACATGATGACTTCCATCCTTCTTCTAGAGCATGAAAACAAACGTAGAACCTATAGAATTTGGACTCTCGTACCTCGCATTCAACTGTCGATCCATGATTAGTCTTTTTTAACTCACCAACGTAATCGTGGATTCTTGCAAATGACTCGGCTTGCTCATCATCAAATGTCTGCAAGCACTTTAACCGTGTCCGCTCACATATTGTTTCTGAAACATTTATGTTACGTTTTATGAGCTTCTTCTGTAGTTGCTTTGCCGAGATATTCGGATTGATCCTAAATTCTTCTATGTAGATGTCAGCAATTCGAGCATTTGTCAGCAGGGAGACCCTATCTTGCCATGTGCAGTTATGCACATCATTGAACGACCTAAAAACCACTCTAATACTGCTACTGTTGATAGATGCATAAATCCTCCATGGACACTTCTTGTTCTTCCATACTTCTTAGGTTCACATGCAAGAGTTGATGTAAAAGCGGTTTGAAGGATATCATTTATAACTAGTAAAATATAACTTAATTATTCAAAGGAAAATAAAACATAGTATATGATTTAGAAATGGAACTGAGGTGGTACCGTTCAGATACAACTTTGATGGTCAATATAAACAAATTTCATCTTCAACAATTTACAATTATCATACAGTAAAAAAAAGGGTCAATGAGGTTTATGCTGCAAGCTTACACTACTGAAATGCAGCATTTAAGAAAGGCAAAATGGAGAAGTGAACATCAAAAACATCCCCAATAGAAATACAGAAGCAGAAGAGCATCATGTCAGCATCTTGCTCTATCGGGTCCATATACAACCAAAGAGAGAACTAAATACAGATACAGAGCACAATGCCAGGAAATGAGTGAAACATAACATCTGGATTCTTGTCTTCTTTCTGACGAAATGGAAGACAGCAGAAGTAGCTTAAGATTGCTACTTACTACTTTGTTGGGTTCGACACATACTTACTTAGAATACATTAATATGTTGATATGAAATATTAGTATAGTGTAACGAAATACCATTAAGCTACATTATGAATGTCTAAAACTAAACCACATATACTATTAAGCTGTAGTATGAGTATCTAAAACTAAATTACACCTATGCTGGCATATTATAATCATCATATATAATATGTATTTGTTGTTATAAAAGTATTAACTGGTTGATCATATTAATTTAATCTTTAATATGTTATTTGGCTTTCTAAAGTTTGGCATACTATTTTGTGTTATTTTTTTGTTAAAAGTATTGAAATCCTTTTAAATGCTGGCAATCATATTAAAGATCACGAAGTGTTAGACGAAGCGGAATGTTCTTATAAACTACTTGTCAACATGATGATAATGTAACTTGGTAAACTAAATATAGTTTTCTGTAGTCACGGTTTGATCTACTAATCTTATATATTATAACTTTACTTTTAAGAAAATACGTAGAGAGACTATCAGTAGATGATAGTGTTCAGCTTTTAACGTTGATGAAATTATGCATTTTAAGATGGTTAGAAATCAAAATGTAATATGGTAACTAACATTATGAACTGAGTTACAATATAATAGTCACGTCACTAAACATCAAAACTGTAAGATTTTGTTTTAATTTAATATATTATCTATTAATTTTTTATTTTTAATTCTTGATTGTAGAAAACTTACAAGGGGCCAAAGTTTATGTTGGATTTAACTATGCGAAGAACACAAGTTGTTATTATAGTTGGTTTTGACGTCGATAAATATAGAGATATATATTGATCGATATGAGAAGAACGAGAAAATAAAGATTTTGGTTTTGCATATATCCACACACCAAGAAATGAAAAGTATCAATTTTCATAATGATCAAGTTTCCGGTTAAGGAAGGCTACCCACAAAAAGATAAGAATAGAAGAAGTTAAATAAGTAGTAATGGTGACTTGAACAACCAAAATCTTAATATTTGGCTTTCTAAAGTTTGGCATACTATTTTGTGTTATTTTTTTTTGTTAAAAAAGTATTGGAATTAGTTTGACTAAATTTTTTAAGATATATGAGTTCTAATTTACAAATTCAAGTTAAACTGGACGATACTCTAATGTCTAATCATCATCAAATTAGTTGTATAATCATAGTTATAATCATCATTCATAATATGTTTTTGTTGTTATAAAATATTAACTGTTTAATCATATTAATTTATTATTTTACAATAATATGCTGAACGTACTTATAAGAACGATTGAAGCATCTTTAAATATTGGTTTTCAATTGAAAATCAAAAATCTCTATGTGATGTATTGCACAATATATGACCACGAACCTCTTGACAATGAAAATGCTGACAATTATTAAAGATAATGGATATCACAGTGTAATTCTGTTTTTGCTTCTTTTTTTATTCATAGATATTATGGATGAAATTTTCTTATGCTTGTATTGCAACAACTTGTAAACATGATGAGAATGTAAATTGGTAAATTACATTTAATTTTATATAATTATGGTTTAATTCATGTTATAGATTATAATTTTACTTTTGAAAACAATTGGTAGAAGAGTAACAACATATGACATTGTTGAGCTTTTTAACGTAGATGATATGATGCTTCTTGAGATGGTTAGAAGACAGCTGGTAATAGGAATTTTAACACAATGTGATTATTTACTAGATTGCAACATACAAGTGAATTTAAAAATTATAAGTTTTATGTTTTGATTTTAAAAATATCTACGAAGTTTTTTTTTTCAGTTGTTGTTGTAGAGAATTTATCTGGTGCCAAAGCATACACTAGATTTTGTTATGACTGGATCACTTGCCGTTCTTGTTGTGAGTTATGGCATTGAGAAAAATGGGAATGCATATTAGATCATACAAAACAGTTAGGAGAAATATGGGGGAAAACAATTTTGGTTATCTCTATAGACACCCCAAAAAGGGAAAAGTTCAATATTCATTAAGATCATATTTTCAGTAAACAAGGCTATCCAAAACAAGATAAAAATAGGAAGAAAAAGTAGTAATGGTGACCATTTTTTCTGAAACAGAACTATTAATGGTGACAATGTGACATGACTAATCAAACTCTTTATGTTTGACATACTTGTTTTGTGTGCTTTTTTTTTTGTTAGAAAAACAAATTTCGAGTCAGAGTTAACAACTTAAGTTAACTAGGAGCATTGACCGAATGAATAAACGGTTTCTCCAATATGTCCGTTTTACCCCCGCGGCTTCTTCGTTTGTCCTTCACTCCCAAAAAACGATTTCTTTCATCTCAAAACCAAAGCTTTCTTGGTCCAGAAGCTTTCAGAAACTACCGACCTCTTTCTCACGAATCTATTACATACTTTGATTCTGAAACTTGGATTCGCAACTGACACTTTCACTGCGAATCTCCTCATAAATAAGTATGTCAAACTCAGAGAAATCAACACTGCACGCAAGGTGTTCGATGAAATGTGCGAACCAAATGTCGTTTCCTGGACTTCGGTTATTTCTGGATACAACGACACGAGTCAACCACAAACTGCTCTTTCTATGTTTCAGGAGATGCACAAAGCCAGATCCGTGTCTCCCAACGAGTTCACGTTCGCTAGCGTCTTTAAAGCCTGCTCGGCTTTGGCAGAATCAAGAATCGGGAAAAACATCCATGCCCGTCTTGAGGTTTCCGGGCTCAGAAGCAACACCGTGATGAGTTCCTCTCTTCTTGACATGTACGGTAAATGCAACGATGTGGAAACGGCTAGACGGGTTTTCGATTCCATGGCTAGTTATGGCAGAAATGTTGTTTCTTGGACCTCGATGATCACTGCTTATGCGCAGAACGCTCGAGGTCACGAAGCTATTGAGCTGTTTAGATCGTTCAATGCTGCTTCGACGAACGATAGACCGAATCAGTTTATGCTGGCTAGTGTTATCAGCGCCTGCACGAGTTTAGGTAGGCTACAATGGGGAAAAGTTTCTCACGGGTTAGTCACTAGAGGAGGTTACGAATCGAACATCGTGGTTGCTACCTCGCTTCTTGATATGTACGCGAAATGCGGGTCTCTGAGCTGCGCGGAGAAGATCTTCTTGAGGATTCGGTGTCACTCTGTTATATCGTACACTTCTATGATCATGGCAAAGGCAAAGCATGGACTTGGTGAACCGGCGATTCAACTATTCGATGAGATGGTTTCAAGGAGAATAAAGCCTAACTATGTGACGTTACTCGGCGTGCTACACGCTTGTGGCCACTCGGGTCTTGTCAACGAAGGGTTAGGATACTTGAACTCAATGAAGGAGAAGCATGGTGTGGTTCCTGACCCGAGGCATTACACTTGCGTTGTTGATATGCTTGGGAGATTTGGTCGTGTTGATGAAGCTTATGAATTGGCGAAGACGATAGAAGTTGGAGCAGAGCAAGGTGCGCTCATGTGGGGAGCTCTGCTTTCAGCTGGTAGGTTACATGGAAGAGTTGATATTGTTTGTGAAGCTAGCAAGCGGTTAATACAGTCAAATCAGCAAGTGACAAGCGCGTATGTGGCTTTGTCCAATGCTCACGCTGTAGCTGGAGGATGGGAAGATTCAGAGTCTCTGAGATTAGAGATGAAACGTGGTGGAAACGTGAAAGAACGAGCTTGTAGCTGGATTGAGATCAAGGGTTCGGTTTATGTTTTCCATGCTGGGGATCTGTCTTGTGATGATGAGAGCGGCGAGATAAAGAGGTTTATGAAGGATCTAGAGAGGAGAATGAAGGAAAGAGGACACAGGGGAAGTAGTAGTAGTAGTAGTAGTAACAGTAGTATGATCACAAGTTCGTCGGTTTTTGTTGATGTTGATGAAGAAGCTAAAGAGGAAATGGTGAGTTTGCATTGTGAGAGATTGGCTTTAGCCTTTGGATTGATTCATTTGCCTGCAGGACCGACGATTCGGATAATGAACAATTTGAGGATGTGTAGAGATTGCCATGAGGCTTTCAAGCTGATAAGTGAGATTGTGGAGAGAGAGATCGTTGTTAGGGAAGTAAATAGGTTTCATTGCTTTAAGGATGGATCTTGCACTTGTCGTGATTTTTGGTGAATTGAGTTTTACAATTTTTAAATTGGGCGTTTGTTCTTCCATGCTTCTCCATAGGTTCACATGCGCAAGAGTTGATGTAAAAGCGGTTTAAAGGATATCATCGTTTATGATTAGTAAACTTGATTATTCAAAGGAAAATAAAATATAGTATACGATTTAGAAATGGAACTGAGGTGTTATGGTTCAGATACAACTTTGATGGTCAATAAGAAACAAATTTAACCTCAACTATAACAGAGAAACCTGCTTACACACTACTGAAATGCAGCGTTTTAGGAAAGGCAACATGGAGAAGTGAAACATCAAAAGATCCCCAATAGGAGGAATACAGAAGCAGTAGAGCATCATATTAGCATCTTGCTCAGGTCCATATTGAACCAAAGAGAGAACTCAATAAAGATACAAAGAGAGAGATGAGAAGGAAGACAGCATAAGTAGCTTAATATCGCTACTTACTACTTTGTTGGGTTCAACACAGACTTAGCATGAACTAAAATGCTGATATGTAACATAAGTATGGTGTACCGAAATACCGTTATGCTGCAGTATGAATGTCTAAAACTTAACCACTGACATCAAGATCGGACAATAGCAAATGCAAAAAGCGACTATGCAAGATGAAAAATCAGAAGAAGCTGAACATGATCTTGACAAATTACCGCAAAAAAAAAAATTGAAGTTTTCCATTCCAATAATAGTTTTTGTAACATGATTAGAGGGCATAGAGCAGTGTCTTGTCACAACTCTCATATAGCGCGCACTATCCAATTGTTTAAATGACTATATCTAAGGATCCTGCTACTCTTCTATAACTATTCTTTAATTAATGTTGGATACCCGGAGACCAAAAAGAAGAAAGACCTGAAACAGGACACTAAGAGTTACTGCAAACTTAAGACCTTAAGTTCCTGTCTAGTGTCCTCTATCCAAGTCCTCCTTTCCTAATCTATTCAAGGGTAATAAGCCTTGAAAGCTAGGCATTGCAAAATTTGCTAATTAATAAGACTATTCTATTCTTTATAGGACTAGAGCCTATGTACAAAATAGAGTCAACACTTTGGGCCACGGAACTTTGATGGACTTAGAACATCCCTGGCGACCTCAATCATCTGAATAAGCGCTTCCACATCATGGAAACTAAAATCGACAACTTTCTTGATTGCAGAGACATAGTCTCCATGCTGCGTTTCTTCTGAGGTGACACTGGCTTCTCTAAAAGCGTCTTGGGATTTTGCTGAGGCTTCCATTGCTAGATTCATGGTCTCTGTCTGTATTATATCAAAATAAAAAATATTAGCTTTATTTGGCATATGAAGATAGATAACGAAGATATGCACAACTTAGTCAAAAGGAAGGATCTTAGTTGTCAACGGACTACAAAACTCCGTGCTCCAATTCAGCAATCATGTATATGCATATAAACAAGGATGATGCAATGCAAAGAGACTGATATCTTCCAATTACAGACACATCAGTCTGTCAGTGATTCCCATTGTCTCATATGGACCTCTATGAATTTGTTCAAGTGAAGAACGCTAGTGCAATACAAATTATCCATGTAAAACAAGACACTTGCACCAACGATGTATAGGGAATCCATATCTAAGGAAAGTAGTTTCTGTTATATTTAAAAAAATTTCAACCAACTTGAAGGCCCAGAGCTGAGATTTCAAAACTCAAACAGCGGAGGAGGGACAACCAAGCTCGCTTGTCCAAAATACTCCAAATGCATCATGCCAATAATTGTTGAAGGTGTGATGATAACTTACAAAGTCCAATAGCGGAGCAAAACTTTGCGGGCTTCTAGCAACAGGGAGTGTGTTTCCAGCAACATTGGAGAGACCTCTTTTAGTTTTAGCAGACTTATCAATCACCCCTTGATTACAAAAACTATCCACATCAGATGTAGATGACGATGGTGATTCACCTGAGGAAACAAATACATGAACATGATATGACTTTACTGAAACATACATGAACATGATATCACTTTACTGAAACATACAGCAGTAAAGCATATTTGAGGAAATTCCAACGTATGCCTTCAACACTTAAACCCACAAGAAAGCTGTGAATTATGAAAAGGTGGACATACACTAAGCCAAAATAACAGGAATAAGGTGACTAATAAGCGACCAAAACAAAAATAGTTATTGATTGTGTGACAGCGGATATTCAAGCAAAGGAAACCACTTAGGACTATTTTAGACAGTGAAAACTGTTACAGATCTGACTTCAATAGCATTTAAAAGAGAACATACGGAAAAGGATAACCTTCACTCACTGACATGAGCACAGATGCAAAATCCATTGTTACCTTGAGGAGTCATCATCTGTACCATTTTTTGCAATTCATTGAATTCTCCACTCAGACCTTGACTTGTACCATACACTACTCTCATGCAAGCAACTTCCACGCATTTATAGGCCATAGCAGCTGCAGCCATCTCTTGGCTTTTTTCATACTGAAGGGCGCAACTTCTGTGAAAGACAAGCAAAATGTTCAATGACCACAAAGTTCATAAGAGAGTCAACCAAATTAAGCATTCTGTCAAACACCAACACCTAAGACATTAGTGAGACGTTCCCTCAGTTATAAGATAATGGGTAATGAGGAAGCACGAGCATTCACTTACCCTGAAAGTTTTGCAGCAGTATGGTAAGCTTCCACATGGTTCATCTTTGCCACTTCCACATTCTCAGTAGTGCACCTTTCTAAAAGTGAAGCTCCAAGGAGAAACATCAGAGCCGCTTTAAAGTTGGCCTCCTTGTGTTCATAATCATATCCAAAGCTCTGAGTTCATAAAGATAGAAAGATATCCAAATTAAAAGCCAACACAAAACTAGCAGAAGAAAGACCGTAGTGATTCATACTATTGTTCCATCATTCGTTCCTCAATTATTAGCAGATGGAACTTGAAGCTTCAGACTACATAAGAGGTAGGATAAAATCTAACCTTGAAACAGTCAGCAAGCTTTGTCAGCTTTTCAGCCTCTTGAAGTATATCATTCGCAGCCTGGGAGGATCTATCCATAGTCTCATGAGTAATGGCACTGAAATTCTTGATCCCAGCTCTAATTTCGAGGACTTTTTCCATACTTGTGCAAGGCAAATCACCAAACTCTGAGTTCTGTTTAAATACTTCTGGTTTTGCCTGGTTTCTATTTCTAGGATGAGTTGTCGACAAAAACTCACAATCAGCTTCCTGAGATAGGTGTTTTCTATTCTTAACAATTTTACTCCCAGCATCACCACATTTCAAGTTTTGGTTTTGTCGAGATATGCTCTCTCCAGCTAATGCAAGATTTTTCCGGCATGAAGTCCTTGCAGGGAAAGAGGAAACTGATTCCACAGGGGATGCTTTTACTTCTTCTTCCACATACCTTCTTCCACTTTTATGTGATCCTAAAACCTTCGCGGAGCTTGATGTTTCTACCCCAGAAATCTGCCCACTTCCACCAGAGAAGTATTTGCATGAGGCATCAGCATTCTGGTGTTCTCGATGGCCATCAGCCTGAAACATCTCATTCCTTTGGCGTGCTTTAACTTCCTGGACTGTTATCCTCTTTTCCATTGAGGGCACTTTTTCCTCACCATCTGCAGATAATTTTGAACTGCTCCCATTGTTACCTTGCTTGTAACCCGTCAACCTTATTTTTCTCACAAGACTGTTGGTTCTGCCATGAGCTTTTGTCCACAAGGAGACACTACCAGTTGTCAGTTGAGGTTTGGGGTCAGGTTTCTTATTAGATGCGAGTAATCTTTTTTTTGTGTCTCGCTCTACATCCGAAGTACAAATATCATTGCCATGACGCTTTTTTTTTCTCTCTGCTTGAGTCCAATCCAGATTTTGTTTCCATTGTATTTCTTCTGCTTTTATATCTCTGGAAGGTTTGTTGCCATCACCAGTCTTAATTTGCTTGGAACCTTCACTTTCTTGATTGTCACCCTCCTTTTTCTTTTTGATCTTTATCTGACTACCAGTACCTACGATAATAACAAGTTATTTAGATAAAAAAGGAAGCCTAAATGCGTTATAAATGGTACACTAGCTGTTAGACGGCGGGACAGACCTGATGATCGCCCCTTTGCTTTTTGGTCTGTGGACATCTGAGTAGCATTGTGCGTTTCTAATGGCAGCTTTACGTTTTTTATTTTAAGAACATGTGGGTCACTTCTTATAGGCTTTGCAGGATCAGCCAGGATATTGCTTGAAACTCCTTGCGATAATAAGTTTTTCACGATAGGCTTCTTTTCAACCGGATTAGATAATGAACTAGAAGTTAAAGGTTGGTAGCTTCCATCAGCATTACTAGCTTCAGAGAGAGATTTAACAACAGTCTCAGGACAGCGAGCCTCAGTAGCATGTAAAGATTTAATAGCGTTTATTGTCTCTTCCATGCTAACGCCACAGTGATTCATCCCAGGCCTGCAAGAGAATTTTCAGGGAGGATGATCAGGACATATAATATAACAATAATCTAAAAACTCTGCACAAGGTTGAAGAACAATATCCAGAAAGTAAGTAGAAGAGATGTCAATACAGTTTCATATTTTTAACGTTTAACACAGCCATTTTATGGAACAAGCCCTTAAACATGAAACTTGATTCAAACTAACAATGATAGCGACTAGAAAGGACTAGCTCTTGAGACAAGAAAGGAACCCGAGATACAACTGTACTTTAAATAGGAGGTATAGTAGCAAGCAAACAGGTGATTTAGAGTACACTAGATACTTACAGCCAGGTTTGCATTCTACACAGCCACTTCTTAGGCAGCTGCTCAGTATTCGTGCCAAAGGGCAGTAGCCGCCATGTCTCACAGCTATCGCATTGGGCCCAAATATCAATGTCAAGACTGGTGGGTAAAGGCGCAACCGCAACCGCAGAATCAAGCCCAACGCCCATGCTATTTTGACCGATATATGCAGCATCCTTGAAAGGCATCTTTGATAAAACTTGATCTTTGCTATTGTTCTGTTTCAACTTTGTTGAATTTGTCTTTAACTCCTTATCAGCATGTTTCCCAACAACCTTAATTTTGTTTGATTTAGCAAATGCGGTTCTGGGATCACTTTCTCTTTCCTTTTTAGTACCTTTTTGCAAGTTACTTTCTGCAATAAACCCATCCTTAGTAGAAGTTGCCCCACCTAAATCACAAGTTGAGTTTCTTCTGGCTATCTGACCAGTGGAAAAAACCTTTTGCTTCTTCATCTCACCAACTGATGAAGTCTCATTAACATCAAAGCAGTCTACGGCTTTCCTTCTCCTTCCACTTGGAGTTTCCCCAGAACCTAAAACATCTGAAAGCTTGTTCTGTGTCTGAATAGAAGGTTCCTTTCCTGCCTTAAGAACTGGTTCATTTCCTAATAAAGTATATTGCTTCTTCTTATCCTTCACAAAAAGTAGACTATCAGGAAGAGGCGACATCAGTAGATCCTCTGGGACAGGAATGGAAGTCATTTCCTGTTTTTAGAAGTTAACAGTGAGTTGACACCAAAATCGAACAGCTTAATCCACACACAAGAAAAACTTTGAATAAAAAGAATGTGATGTACGATCTACCTGAATAATGCGGGAAGGAGATTCACTTGACTTCTCCGGAGATGTATTCGGAAGCATTCCGCTACTATAATCAACAAGGCTCTTTCGGGTTGTTACACTTGGAGAGTCATCAAGACCAAGATCTTTGCAAACCATTGCGACGTTTCGGGACAAGATTTCAGAACCCATTTTGATCCGTACCCTTATTGGCTTATGTCCAGACAAATCATTTCCAAGTATTCTCGCATTTTCTTTCTTTATGGGAACCATTCCAGGAGCTTGGGTCAAAAGGGAGCCAGAAGTTTGATTGTTCTGAGGTTTCTGAAGACTTACCAATTTACAAGATGTAGTAGTAGTAGGCAGTGACTGAAAGTTCTGAACCACATTCTGCGCAAAAAAAAGAAGCAAATCACTAGTACTCATAAGTAAACTGTTTATAATACGAAAGAAGCAAATCAAAACAAGCATTGATCATTTCTTCAATCCACACAAAGAATCCATACAATTACAAACATATTCGCCATTTATATTCACATCCAACTAAAGATTGTATGTATCATACCTTCGCAGGTAAACTGTTTGAAAATCTTTGTACAGCATGATTCCCTAAGGAACTCCTTTGACATGGTGGTGGTACGGCCGGAACACGTTTGTAAGTGGGCAAAAATGATCCATAGTCATACAACCTTGAACCTGCCCAATCATATCATTCTATCAATCACACTTCTCATCTCTCAAAACTTTTTCCTCAGTAAAGCATTGTTACATATCACTTACCAAACCGGTCCAGTGCATCTTTTTGCAAGTGGCCAAGCACATTCTGTACCTTTTCGTCCTTCAATAGACAAAGCAACAAAGCTTGGGTTCAACAGTGCAGAGCATATATATATACTAAGAAAGTGGCAGCATTCAGAAGAAAAAAAAAGACTCCAGCAAACAAAGACACAGTTATGTGATAGAAGTGAGATTTCATAAGCTACAAAAGTGAGTAGTGCAAGCAAGAGACAAAGCACTTTAACTATCTTATAAAAGCTAAAATAAACAGAACTAAAATGCAGAAAAATCAATCGGCATTGGCCTTAGAAACACATAGAACTAAATCAAATGATCTTTACTCTTTTAATACAACCCTGATGGGCGACAATAACTATGAGTTTAATCCAAAAAGCAGAAACTAAACATCATTACCCAAAGACCTTCTTCAACTTCCAAGTTAATAAATGCAGCATTGTAATTAGATACTCACAGGTACACGCATCATAAGAACACAAGCCACATTTTTGTAAAGAGAAATTACAAAACAAGAGGCTCACAATGTAGGAGAGATCAACGTCAAGATCAACAACGGCTTCATCAGTAGAACAATTCATCTCCCCTTCTTCAAGTTCAGAGTTCTCTCCCATCCTCTTAAGCCACAAGAACCCTAAACATAACCCTCACTAACACTCCAATTTTCAAGCCCTAATACTACTCCCTAAACCCCAAACACTAACTCTGCCGCCAAGAAACCGTCTCGAAAGTCCAACATTGGCCAAGAAAAATCACTCAAACACACACCGAAATCAAATCATTCACATTCAGATTATCCCAGAAAATCCCTCAATTTTTCAATCTCCAACACAAAAGGGACGGTTTTGATTTTTTGAAAAAAGGAAGAAAACGCGAAATTAATCGCTTAATCCCATTATTAAAACACGATCAGGCTCGTTTCGATTAGAGAGCGGGAAAGTTAAGGAGCGATTCGATCACTGAGTCAAGCCGAGTCGCAATCGAGTCGAGAGGCGGCGAAGAGTGGGGGCTTCCAGAGGTTTACGAAACGTTCGGCCACTTCCTTTGCGTCTCCGAGTTTTTTTGCAGACAAGACGCAAGCCAGAAGAGTGTTTAGTTTTGGAGGGTTCTTCTTTGGTTTAATGATTAATAATTAATTAATATTTTTTATTTGTAAGCTTTCTATATTTCGTATCTCTCATTTAAAGCTTGACAAATAATTTACACTTCGCCCCTCCTGTTTCTTAGATTCTTTTGTTTATCTCCTGTTATTTATAAGTTCGATAGGATCTCATTCAAATTTTAATAATTTTGACTGAGAAAAACTTTGTCCGGGCCTAGTAGGACCGTTATATTTTAAACCTAAGTGCATTTACTGCGTTTAAAAATGTCAAAAAGCTAGTCTTACAATTTTATAGCATGACTAAAATTGCTTATGGGTTTTGAGATTTTGAGATTTTGTCTAACCAATCCATTTTGGGATTGCAGATTTTGCAGCGCAGATCGGTCCCAAGAGCCAAATTCTTGGTTTCCTGGAATTTAAATCTTTGATCTTTTTTTTATCTTTCACCTAATTTTGGTACGTCTTTGTTAGCTTTCCTTATCAACATGACAATTTTGGGAATGTGGACTAATTTGTCATTCATAAGATTCTTAAGAAAATCATGAAATATGGAAACTTTGAAAAAGGAAGATATGAATTTCTTTGTGTTAGTATTTTTGTTTGAATAACTAAGATTTGAATCTTGCAGCTTTGTTTCTACTTACAGTATACTGTATTTCTTATTTTAATTGATTTTAAATGCGTAAGTTTTATCTTTAAACAATTTCACATTGGTTTTTAAAATCACGATTAAAAGTTAAAATGCTAACAGAACTAGAACAAACCCAAAGCAAGATTATACAAATTGGGTCAAGACAAAGATAGATCAAAGCGGAAACGAAATCAACGAACCAGAAGAGTTTTTTTTAATAATGAGTCAACACACTTAATCGATTAAATGAGGGAGTAACTCAGATTTGTACTTTCTACTTTTTTTTTTATTTCTTTACTCCAAACTAAAATTTTTGTACTCGTTTGCTCGTTATATTTCAGCGTGTATTGGGTATATTTTCATCCATATATACTATTTTTTTATAAGATCTAGACTATTTTGGTTAATCTCCGTGAAAAGAATTGGGTCAATTCGCTACTATTTTTAAAGATCATGAATATTTATGGAAGAGGAAACTAAAAACGGTTATTAGTTAGAGCGTTGATCTTTAGATTGTTTCCCTTCGTCCCTTTTCAGTTTTTTTTGGATGTTAATTGCATTGTGTAATTGATTAAATGTAATCACGCCAAACACAAATAAAAAGAAAAATATCATTTTGTATATAATTTGTTTTCTAAACTCTTTGTACAAACTTTTTCTGTTATCTAATTAATATCACATTTCAACCCCAAAAAAAAAGATAGTTAACGTTCGTATTCTGATCATATATTTATCAACTATTGACTGTAAAAAAGCACTATCTCATGAAACGTTTCATATTGCAGAAATTATCGTGGAGGAATGAAGAAAAAGAACAAGAGAGACCATATAGAAATAGAAGTATCCACAAGCCAAACTAAACACCAAGTAGTGGAAAAATTTAAAACAAAATTAGTAAAACTTGCAAAATATACTTATTGGTACTTAACCAATGCTTGGCCCAGCCTGGGCTCTTGGATTCGGTGTTCCAAGAACCATTCAGTATGATTCCTTTGAAACGGGTAAATCCCTAACAAATAGTTTGTATGGTGGAGCAGATGAAATATTCAATGTACCTTGAGGCGCAAGAAACATATACTAAAAATTCAATTCTCCTTTAACTTAATAAATTCTGCATATTCCCCCCTCTCCTCCCCCAACTATACGTTGTCTACTTAATTCCCTCCAAACTAAAGACTTCTGCCTATTTTCACCCAAACAATTTATTTTCTGTCTATTCCCCCAAATTCAATTAGAAATTAAAATCGCGATCAATTTACGAAATCGCGTTTTTGTTAGATTGTGTTTTGGGGGAGAAATATGCATAAAACAAATTGTTTGGATGTAAATATGCAGAGGTATAGTCTATGGGGAGGGGGGAATATGCAGAATTTATTAAGTTCAGGGAGCTGAGCGCAGTTAATTTAATTTTTAGGCTTTACAAAATATTTAACACATGATTAACTTAATTATATACATAATATATATTTATATAATAAAATAAATGTATATTTCTATTAAAAAGGTAAAAATATGATAGCACAATTTAGTTTAATTAAATCATATTATATCAAATAAATAAGTTGTGTAATGTCAAGTAAATCTTGAAATATATTTCATGCAATCTTCCTATTAGCATTTTAAATAAAAATACTCGAACCATGAATGGTGTAGAAGAGGTTTCAACTCTCTGTCTAACCACTCATTACTCATATATATTAATTTAGGAGGTGTTATTAGTTCTTTTATTTTAATGGATTTGAGAATCCAAACAAAATTCAGTGTTATTGGTTCTTGTATTTTAAAATTCATATTGAAATACAGTGTTATTGGTTCTATGATTTTAAAATCCATAATGAAATACATTGTTATTGGTTCTATAATTTTATAATCTAAATATTATAAGGATTTGAGTTTTAATTGAATTTGAATGGATTTGGCTGGATTTTGATGACTAAAATACAAAGACCCAATTACAAAGTTTAACATTGGTATTTGAGTGGATTTGATTTTTTTTTTTTTTACTGATTTTAAAATCAATAATTTATCAAATCCAAAGAAGATTTCTAAGGAGGTATTATTGGTTCTTGTATATTAATGGATTTGAGAATCCAAACCAAATTCAGTGTTATTGGTTCGTATATTTTAAAATTTATATTGAAATACAGTGTTATTGGTTATATGATTTTAAAATCCATAATGAAATACAGTGTTATTGGTTCTATCATTTTAGAATCTAAATATTATAAGAATTTGAGTTTTAATTGAATTTGAATGGATTTGGAAGGATTTTCATGACTAAAATACAAAGACTCAAATACAAGGTTTAACCTTGGTATTTGAGTGGATTTGATTTTTTTCTGTTTTGCTGATTTTGAAATCAATAAATTTATCAAATCCAAAGAAGATTTATAAATCCACCAAAATACAAAAACCAATAACCCCTACTAAATTCATTAAAATACAAGAACCAATAACCCCTACTTAAGCACAATATGTACATACTACATCTAAGTTTGAAGTCTCTAACAAATCTGTGTTAGAAGTTATTAGTGGTCTGATTTAACAATCGTTTATTTCATGGATTTATAATGAAAATACTCGCACCAATAGAATGATAAACTTGCATTAGTTAATATGTTTAATGTCAAGTAAATAAGTCCTATGTTATCAAGTATATCCTGAAAAATAGTTTTTTCTATTAGTATTTCAAATCAAAATTTATTAAAAAATAGGATAATATGTTTATATATGTATAATAACCAATGCTAGTTTTATTTTTTAAAAAGACATTATGCTGTCATATTACTACTTTTTAATAGAAATATATGTTTATTTTATTATACAACTATATATTATGGATATAATTAAACAAATCATGTGTTAAATATTTTGAAAAACCTAAAAATTAAATTGACTGCGCTCAGCCCGTGAACTTAATAAATCTGCATATTCCCCCTCGACTACACTTCTGCATATTCCCACCCAAACAATTTGTTTACTGCATTAGTTAATATGTTTAATGTCAAGTAAATAAGTCCTATGTTATCAAGTATATCCTGAAAAATAGTTTTTTCTATTAGCAGGGTTAAGAAGACAATGTATAGTTTGGAGGGCTGACAGCAGCCAACTTAATTTTATTTCGTTTTTAATTAATTTTAATTTAAAAAACCATTAAAATTACCTAAAAACCTACGTAACTAACAAGATTTACAATTATACATGGATTCTACCCATCAAACTAAAATCGGATCTAACCTCTAATCCGAAAACTAAAAATCCATAACCTCCTAACCCGAAATCATCGGAAACTTTCGCACAACCTGAAACTCAAACTGCTCCAAACTTGACGGGCTCGTTGAACTCTCTCCCTCATAAAACTCAAACCTCCTCTCAGTTTCAAACGAAAAACCGCTTCCATCCTCTCTCTCGAATTCGATCCGCCGATACAATGACCAGGATAAATTGGACAAAAAAGAAGAAAAAGAAGATTGTTGCTGAAGATACGAATCCGCCGATTGCTGAAGTGGAGAAGGGTCAAAGCAGTTTGGATCCGCTGATTGATGCCATTGAAGAAGAGAGGGAAGCATCTCGGGTTCCCATTGAAGAGAGACATGAAGAAGACAATGAAGAGAATGATGACGAAGAGACTGAAGAAGAAGGAGATCATGTCTCGAATGAAAAAGAGAATGAAGAAGAAGGAGAGAAAGGAGAGAGTGACAATGAAGAAGGCGACAATGAAGAAGAAGACAATAAAGAAGAAAACAGAGAGGGAGAACAAAACTGGGACGAGGAAGATGCAAGTATTGTAAGTACTTCGATTTCATTGGATTGGATTCGTAGTTAGGTAGAACTAGGGGAAACTAAATTGTTTTTGTTAGGTAGAACTAGGGAAAACTAGTATAACTAGATAAAATAAGTCTTTGTTACATGTAGTACTAGTATAACTATGTAATACTAGGATTTGTAGTTGTTAAGTAATACTAGTATAACTAGATAAAACTATTCGGTTGTTACATGTAACACTAGTATAACTAGATAATACTAGGATTTGTGGTTGTTTAAATATTATTTATATAACTACATGATACTAGTATAACTAGGTAATACTAGTATAACTGAATAAAACTACTCGGTTGTTACATGTAATACAAGTAAAACTAGAAAATACTAAGATTTGTGGTTGTTTAAGTAATACTAGTATAACTAGATAATACTAGTCGAGTTTTATTTGTAATACTAGTATAATTAGATATAACTAGTTGGATTTTATTTGTAATACTAAAATTACTTAATACAACTAATCAGATTCTATTTGTAATACTATAATTATTTGGTAAAACTAATCGGATTTTATTTGTAATACTGGAATAACTTGGTACAACTGAATGTTTTTGTAGGAT